AGAAAGACAAGGCTGTCTCCTCCTGTAAAGATTTACCGTCTCAGAAACTCCAGGGAACAACCTGTTCTCTGGGGTCACGACTCCGGGGCCGAGGACTTGGGTTGCTGGCTCCAGATGCAGTTCCCATCTTTGGGAATGCTCTCCGGAGTCCACACTGGGGGTGTCCCAGCACCGGAAGTGGAAGCGGGGGGGCTAGCCCCTCAATGGGGCGTCAACCAGACACACGGAGCCAGGTTTTCATTTGTACCATCTTTCAGGTGATCTGTTGGCTAACGTTCATTTGAGGTCAAAGTCAGGATCACTCACAACATGTGGCAAACCCATCCATGCCCCTGTCTGTTCTTCTGGCAGTACTCTTGAGCTGCGTCGGGCTGCTGGCATGGCTGAGAGTCGTCATCAGCTCGGTGGCAGTGAGTCTGGTCTGGTTCGGGCCTTGCTAACACCACAGTTCAAAGCCTCCGTTCTTTTGCGGTCTTCCGTTTGGCTTCCCCGGCTTCCACAGGCTTAGGCGGCAATGGGAAGATGCTGACTCGGGTCAGCCGCACTGCAGACTGTTGTTATTGTGAGTCCGTCCCAACACACGGCAGCCTTGTGCACAACAGCACACAGCACTACCCGGCCCTGCGCCATTCCTCACAATCGCTATCTCCGCAATCACGGTGTCCATCCATCTAGCCTGGCGCACATCCCAATGCCCCTCTACCTTACCAAGTGTGATGCCCTTTTCCAGGGACTGGTCTCTAGGGTGACCTCAATGCACGTGATGTTCTGAGAGGCGGAGTCAGGCTGGCTGGGGAGCTTGTCCCACATGCCTGCCTCGTCCCCGGTCAGTCACTGGGGTGTGGTGAGTGCAGGGTGACCACTTGTCTGTGGCCAGGGCCCACTCCCTCCGGGAGCCCGCCAGGGGTCCCTCTGGCGGACAGGAAGAGACAGCAAGAAGAGGCTTGGCCCTGGGTGTGGAGTCCAACCCTAGCAGCCGGCGCAGGTCTCATCCTGCTTCCTTTCTCAGCTGTGAAATGGGGTGAGGACCGTGCCAGCCTTTCAGGGTGGCTGGGAGAACATAATGAACCGCTGCATGGTGTGCTCAAACACAGCCTGGGGCTTTCAGATGTTCCAACCCACTGCCATCGAGCCTGTTCCCACACACCGGGAGCTACAGGGCAGAGTTAAATGAGCTCATAGGCTTCCCAGACTAAATCGTCCCAGGAGCGGACAGCCTCCCCTTTCTCCTGAGCAGCGGCTGGTGGATTCAAACGGCTGACCTTGTGGTTGGTAGACCAACCATGTCGCCGTCAGGGCTCTTTGGGCGATGTTCCAAACAAAGCAACACAAAGCTCCAAACATCACCACTAAGCCCATTCTGACTTGTAGTGGCCCTGGGCTGTCCACCTGCACAGGAGTCCAGAACCTCCTTGGAGCTGGGGGTGGGGGTAGCGCTTTTCTGAGTGTTAGCTGCCCAACACTCACCTGACAGCACCACCAGCCTGTGTTAATTGCCACTTCCTGTTTGTGGATTGGTGGCCGGAGTGGCTACCCTTGGGGCAGTGATCGTCAAGGTCAGCAGTTCGAAACCACCAGCTGCTCTGTGGGAGAAAGATGGGGTCGCAGTCTCTGAAACCCACAGGGGCAATTCTGTCCTGTAGGGTCACTTTCAGTAGGCGTTGACTCAATGGCAGTGAGAGAGCGGTTGGGGGTTGGTAATTGGGGGGTGGACGGAGAGGAGGGGCTTTCAAACCAGTCCTGATTGAGAAGAAAATCCAGCGCTGGGCAATGTACTGTCCGTGTGGAGGCCCACTGCTTCTACAGCTGCTGTGCCTGAAACCTGGGCGCTCAACTGCGTGGGAGGCTCTGGGCGTCTGGCCCTGGAGTTGGGGGCTGCAGGCCTGGGGCGCCATCGTGTGGCGGCTGGGAGTATCGCTTTTGGCCTGGAAGCAGGTGGCTGTCTATGCTTCCTCACCTGGGACCAGTTTCTGTGCCAAGTGGGCTCCTCTGTGTCTTGGCCAGGGCTGCGGGGATCGGCATCCTGGTGGTGATCGTGGGGATCCTCCTGCTCCTGGGATGCTGGTATTGTAGACGTCGACACAGCGGATACAAGATCCTGAAGGTGGGTGTCTGTAGTATTAAATTAAAAAATTGGCGCTGAGGGAGGTGGGGTGCCAGCCCCACCTGCTACTACTATTATTGCTACTACTCGGATTCAGTAAGTACAACTGTACGGTTGAGATATATAAGCATTATATTAAAGTCATTGAGAGCATGAGAGATAATACAATAATACAGTCAGACACGTTACATGGCAACATTGCTCACCTCAGCCCAGCTTGGTGGTCCACGTGGAGAGAGGGGGAAGGGAAGGAGGGTAAGGGAACAAGGGAGAGGGGAGTGACCAGGGAGTGAGCAGCAAGGAGCTCAGAGTCAGAGAGAGAGATCTATGTTGCTGACTCACACCTATATATCTTTTGGGGGCAAGCCAGCCCACTAATTACAGGTAGAGACATACGCCACAGGGAGGAGCTGCACTATAGGTTACACAGCAATCAGAGGATGGTCTAGGGGGTGGTCTCTGGGTCTCCATAGGAACCATTATCAGTAGGGTGCAAACTCCTCCCATAGGAGCCTGGTCCATTCTCCCCAGAGGCAGGGAGCAGGCCCAGCCCTGCTGTGGGATGAGACAGCAGTCTGGCAACTGATTGCCTTCAGGGGAGGGAATGCCTGCGCATCTGACCTCCCCCCATAGGTGTCATTCCCGCTGGGGGGCGGGCTCCTGATCTGGTGCACCTTTCTACCTGGGAGGATTTAGCGGAGTTGGGGTAACACGCTGGCCTGTGACCCACAGGGAGAAAGATAAGACTTTCTACTCCCGCTTCTCCTACAGGTACGGACGGTCTTGGAAGGTTTATTTGTTTAACAAATTCCAGGGCTGTGGGGCACCATTTCAACCTTACATGCGCACTCCATGTCCCTGTCCACATTTTGGTCACTCACACCGGACTCCAAACTTCCTCCTCTCCATGCAGACCTCATGACACCTCCAAAACCAAACCCAAACCCAACTCGCCACCATGGAGTTGATGCCGACTCATAGCGACCCTACAGGCCCCTAGAGCACAGGGTAGAACTCCTCCTGACTGACTCTTCAGAGGAGCAGAAAGCCTCCTCTTTCTCCCACAGAGCGGCTGTTGGGCTTGAACTGCTGACCTTGCGCTTAGCAGCCCGACACTACGCCACCAGGGCTCTACAAAACCGAGAGATCTCGGCCGTTTCGCTCTCAAAGCCAGGTAGCACCTGGAAGCAGCCAAAGTGAACAACGGAGAGAAAGGGGAGCTGCTCTTCCCTCCCTCCCTCTCCTTACAAAAGACACCAGAAAGGCCCCCTCCCCCTCCAGCAAGCCCTTCACTCAGCAGGAAAGGTTCTGGGAAAGTGGGGTTGGCCTGGGGGTGAGCTCCAGGGTGGGAGGATCCTCGGCTTAGTTGTGAGCAGGGAAGCCCATCTCTGTTTCCTTTCGTCACCTTGCCCATGTGTACCCAACACACATCCCCCCCATACACCTTGCAAGTAGAAGCCCCCCATCATGGGCATCTGGTGGGCAAGGGAACCCTGCAGGCTGGCCTCAGAGAGAGCTGTGGGTTCTGTCCCACAGCATGACAGCAAAGGGACGGTCACAGCAGCTAAGTCTCAGGAATGTTGTTACTTTCTGCAGAGAAGGGCCAACAGGAGCCACTGGTGGGTCTGAACAGCTGACCTTGCAGTTAGCAGCCCAGTGGGTAACCCCCTACACCACCAGTCCCCCCACCGGTCTAGCTGTTCAGAAACCAGTGTGTCACAAGCATCCCCTACCCTCCAATCCAACTGGGATGCAGAAACTAATGTTTGAGAGCCAGTGCTGTGGAGACCAGGTGTCCCAGGACCTTTCTGGAAGGTTGGTGGGTCAAGCCATCAGGAGACGCGTTGGGAGGCAGGCTTGGTGATCGGGCCCAGGGCAGCAACAGCTACAATCTATGAACCAAACCACAGCCTGCTCTCTGCCTCATGCCAGGCCAGCAGTCTTAACCCAAGCTGGGGACAGGAGGCTCCACCTCCTCAGGGAACCCGCTCCGACGTGGGTGAGCCTCTGCCTCGTACAAACGGTTGCCATTCAGGTCTAGGGATGGGGGTCATCACCCCTCATCAGACTGAGGCAAACTGCCAGTCCTCCTTCGCTGGATAACTGGGCACAGAGCTTTACAAACCCAGTGTCCAAGCCAGCTCCGGGCAGCCCCGCGAGAGTGAGAACAGACCTGTGCTCCCCAGGGTGTTCAGCAGCTGTTCTTTAGGGAAGTAGAGCACCCGCCTTTCTTCTGGGGCACGCCAACAGTCTGCTTCAATTTACCTGGGCTTATGTTTGCCCCTTGCCCGCGCTGGAGGCCCATGGCGTCCCGATCAGCAGCCTCGCACTGGCTGCTGTCACTGTGGCGAGACAAGACAGGCAGCGTGTCCCTGCTGCCTCTGTCCCTGAGCTCAGAGCCGGACCCCCTCCACGGTGCGATCTCCTGGTCACTCTCAGAGGGTCACTGTCCGATTCCCTCTCTTCTCGTCCCTCCTTCACCACTCTCCGTGGGCTCTCAAGTGGGGGCCACGCCCCGCAGGTACTTGTCTTCAGTGAAGCCGAGAGGCAGGTGGCGTTATCTTCCGGCCTGCAGCTCCCAGAGGTGAGGGACTAGCCCGGGAACACACAGCTTGCAAGCTGCAGAACCCAGATGAGACACTTCCTTCTTGAATAAGGTGACCAGACGTCCTGATTTTTGGCGTTTTAAAAAAGTCCCGATGTTTGGAAAGAATCCATGACAAGCTAGGGAATGGTCTATTTGGTCCATCTAGACCAAATTTTTAATCAAGAAGACCCCCCCACCCCCGTCAATGGTGTCCCACTTTAAATCTGATCACCTTATTCTTGAATGGGTTCGTGTGGCTTTTCACCCGGTGACCCTTGTTGACTTCCCATTCCAGGACAAAAGCCTTCTTGCTGGTGCCAAGGGTGCACCCACAGGAGGGCACCAGCCTGGGGAAGTTGCTCCACCGGATAGCAAACTGCCTTCTCAGGAGCACAGCTTCGGACCAGCGGTAGGTGGGGAGCCCTCCGGGGGCCGGGGTGTGTGTGTGTATCGTGTGTCTGGCCACTTTGGGCTCAGGTGAATACACACAGTTCCATCGGAAACAAACCAACGAGGGGCAGGCCGATTCCCTTTGACTCGTTGTCCAGGGTCCACGGGAGAGCCCACAGGCTTCCCAGTGGTGACCTCTTGGGCTGCTTACTGAGAGCTCAGCAGTTCGAAACCACCCGCCACTCTTCAGGAGAAGGACGAGGCCGCTCACGGCCTGGACGGGTGATGTGGCTTCCCAGGCTCACTCTGCCTGCCATTTTCAGTATTCAGAGTCTGTTGACTGTGCACTGGTCATCTCGTTTAATCCATTTGTTAATCCCAGGAATTAGAGAGGGAAATTACATCCCCTCTTTACAATACTGAGATGAAATATTTTACATAAATTCACAAGCACCCAGGTTTCTTAAGATTGCAGGGAATAAAGAGGTAGCAGTCTTTAGAACCCAAACTTTTATTTTACATTAAGATTTTTGACTAGAAGAAAACTATTTCAACATATTTTGATTTTAAATTACTTATTCCTGATGCACATTAAAATTTTAAGACATTAAAATTTTTATGTGCAGGGTAAATTATAACAGACATTTCTTAAATTATTACTACTTAGAATTTCTTTTGAGTTATTGCATACACGCAGTCAACAAAGTACATTAATCTTAAGTGCACAAATGGAAGAAGTTCCAACTATGTATGCACTTGAATGGCCACACCACCTAGATCAGACACAGAACACTCCAGAAGTCGACTTCCTCGTCCCCCAACCACCAGTCAATTCCAAGGACACGGTTGTAACCTTGCTGCTTCTTTGTACCGGAGCTTATGTTTGCTCCTTGGCTCCCAGTGTCCTGGATAGAAACAAAACTGGACTGCGGGGTGTATTTCCGAAGTAGGCCAGAAGTGGTGAACGGAAGGGTCCCTACAGTGCAGTGTGCTGCATAGCCAGGGGCCTCTACCCTAGAGCATTCTGTTCACACAGGAAAATGCCAGAAATGAATTGCCATCAGATTTCAATATGAAAAGGATGTGCCTACGAGAAGAATGGTTGCCCTTTTAATCTCCGCACACTGAGGGAGCGATGAACACTCCAGCCGCTGCTCTCCATTTCCATGGTATTGGACCAGGCTCTACGGACATGTCACCCTACTCAGGTTTAAAACATGTCTGGAACACTCCACCTCCGTGCTGTCACGACGATATCACATCCTACAAGTGTCATTCTGTTCTGTTCGATACCAGTTTTTAGTGAGATGCCTATCTCTAACTAAGGCAAATAGTTAAAAACAAGATTGATCAGTTGTACTAAATTCCTTTGACCGTGATATAGAAATGATACATCTTTTTAGCATCTAGAGACCTTTTTGGACTAGTTTTTTTATTGGGAGAAAAAAATTATACAACATGTGTTCATAAGGATCGCATTCATGTTTAATTATGGATCGTTATAATATCTGTAAGAGATCCCAATAAAATTATTGGGATTGATATGCTGCTGATTGTACAATTCCCCTTGATATGATTGAATGATTGAACTTTTCAATTGCATGATACATAAATTGTGTGCCAATACAACTGTTGGAAAGATTGAAAAAAAGAAGAGTTACTGCACTGCAAACCCACAGGGGCAGTTCTACCCTACAGGGTCGCTGTGTCAGAAGTGACAAGGTAGCTGTGAAGTGAGTGACATGGCCACTGGGTGGTGCCAACGGCTTTCAGTTGACAACTAGCCTACCCTGACTGCCTTGTCACTGCCATAGTGGGTTCTGACTCAGAGACCCTATAGGAAGGGTAGAACTGCCCCTACGGGTTTCTGAGATGGTAACTCTTTACAGGAGTAGAAAGCCTTGTCTTTCTCCGGGAGCAGCTGATGGTTTTGAATTGCATGCCACAAGGGCTTCCCCTCACCTAGCCTAGCGGTACCAAGGAAGAAAGGCCTGGCATTCCACACCCATAAGGATGAAAGAACAAAGACATGAACCGACCCATTGCCGTCAGCTCACTTCTGATGCATAGCGACCCTCGAGGTTCCAAGGCTGGAGACCTTTATCGGAGCAGAGCTTCCTCTTCTCCCCGGATTCGTGCCAAGAAAGGCAGTGTGCTCTACTCAGCACGGGGTCCGTGTCTGTATCCCTGTGACAGCCGCAGGCTGGTTTCCTGGTTTTTGTCACACAGACCCAATTTCAAGGACAGGATACCAAGATATAAATCACTCACTAGTGGTCATTGGTGAGTGTGGAAATACTGACGAAATGCTGCGGTGATAGTCTGACTGTTAAAGAAAGCACATCATTAAAAATAACTCTGCGTGTTCATTCGTGCATCATGTGGCTCCGGGGAATGTGCTGGCGTGGCACCTGTGCCAGGAGGGGCTCCCGGAAGTTCGTGGGCGGACACATGTCCTCTTTTCATTACATTTCCCCCACTGACCTCGGGAAGCCCCTGTGGACATGTGGACGGGGTTGATGGTTAAGTACACTGACTCTTGCGTTCCTATCTTGAATTCCGCTATACCGCTCGGTCGCTGTGTGGCCTTGGGCCAGAGATTTGAACCCTCTGTGCCTCAGCTTCCTGGGCTGTTACCTAGACTCAGGGAAAACACCTTCTGAAGGTACTGTGAACTTTGCACAGAAAGCATGACACAACGGGGGCGCTTCAGTTTGCGGGAAAGTCTTACCTTCCAATTCCAGTCCCATGAGCGGTTTGAAGCCCTCTGGTGGGCAATACAACACCACAAGGATCTACAGCTAAATGTCTATGTATATGTAAAGAGACCACACAGATCAGTGCCCCCAAATGGTAAGTGGACCATTATTAGGGCTTGCACGCCTACTGACAAAACAAGCCCCCATGACTGCTTTTTTGAGGTTCTGGGAAACTCTGTGGCCCTGTTTGCCTCTATCCTTCCTGCAGGAATGTTTCAACATACATGCTCCTGAACTATGACGTTAAGCAGGTGTCCCTGGTTGGCACAGTTTAGTGCTCAACTACTAGCCAAAACGTCAGTTCAGTAGTTCAAACACACCATCCAGAAGTACCTTGGAAGAAAGGCCTGGCGATGTGCTTCACTGTTTTGAAAGGCCCAGGGGACAGTAGTATTCAGCACACAGGAGGTCACCAAGGGTCTGAATCCATGTAACGGCAAACACCAAAACCCCCCACTGGGTTGAACACTTCTAAGTTTCCATCTGTAGCAGAAGCGTACTTGGGAGATGAATGGCTTTGAAATACTGCCCCCCCCCTCCAACCCCGGCTTCCAGGTCGTGTCTGCACCTGTGACCAGTCCTGCTCTTTCTCGTTCTCGCAGGTCCCCAATGCTCCACCGGCCTATGAGAAACACTCCGTGGATCGGTCACCGCCGCCGCCTTATGCACCCTGAGGGCCTGCTGCCCGAAGGGCTCTCTTCCCTCATCTGCCAGTCTGCTCGGGCTCAATCCACACGATTCAGGGTGCTGCGGGGGCAGCGCACGGCTTCTCTGCTGACTGAGATCACGCCCATGGCGTAGGAGGGGTCCCAGCAGCACTCATCAGGCAAGGGAAATATTACAATAGGAAAGGCTTTGCCAATAAACCGAGTGACACACGGTACTCTTTTGTGTCCGCAGTAATTGCTAACAAACGGTGGTGCTGCTTTCTTAGGGGTGGACTTCAAGGAAAGGCAAAGCGTTACAAACCTTTAAGGGGCAGTTCTACCCTGTACACAAGGGGCCATGAGTCAGATCCACTCGGCAGCACCCCCACTGCCAATGACAATGACCGGGAGGAGAGACTTAAAAGAAAGATCATTTGCGCAGGAGCTATTTTAAGAAGTCTGTGAAAGTAACAACATTAAACTCACTAAATATGGGGTTTCAAAACAATAGACCCCACCTCCACCCCGACCCTACACACACATCTCCAACTGAACTTTTGTAAGCACTACCTTTGATTGGTTTAGGGAGTAATACTTGACATTGGTTGGTTTGTTTTTCCCCCCCTCCTAGATCTTCTTGATACCTGTTTAAACACCTCTAATCTTAATCTGGTCCAAAGAAAAGTCTCACTCACTCAAACAAACAATCCTTTTCTCTGGCCTCGGTCACAGGGGCTGCAACAATGGGCTCACAGGTAAGGACGGTGGTGAGGATGGCACGGGCCCAGGCAATGTTTTGCTCTGGTGCAGTCAGTCTGTGTCCCTCCGGCATAGCAGGATGCTGGGTGGGGTGTGGCTAAGGGGCCTACAGTGCTAGTGGTGGTGGTGTTCTGGGCAGGGGTGGGCGGGCTAGTGATTTCCTGACAGAGGAACTGGGCAGCCAAGTGAATGAACAGGGACATGAGTGATCCTATGACTCCTATTGTCGCGGCCCCTCAAATTGTGATCTGTTCTCCAAGTGGGGAGAGCACTGGCCACTCCCACCCCATCCTGTCCCCGAGCAGTTCGTTTTCTCCACACCCCGAGGGAAACTGCCTGCCGAGCACAGCACCGCGCCCCTTGTCTATTGTTACCATTTCTTCAGTGGTCAGGAACGACCTGGACCTGGCTCAGTGCCACCGCGTGCATGCTGACTCACAGGGACCCTTACAGAACAGGGAGAACTGCCCCGAGGGTTTCCAAGACTTTAACCCATTACGGGAGTAGAAAGTCTCATCTTTCTCCTGAGGAGAGGCTGGGTTATGAGTGCAACCCATAACTCAGTATGCCACCACTAGCCACATCCTGATGGGCTGCCTGTCTTTCCATAACGCAAACCAAACTCACTGCCGTGGAGTCGAGGCCGACTCACAGCGACCCTGTAAGACAGGGTGGAACTGCCCCTGCGAGCTTCCCACACTGGCTTCAAACATTGCGGTCAGCAGCCCATCATGTAACCACTACCCCACCAGGGCGCTTCTGTCTTCAGTCAGGTGAAAAAGGCCTTAAACACCTGAAACTCCAAACCCAAGGTTGGACTGCCCAACCAATGAACTAAGCATGGGTGTACTTGTGCTTATTTACTGATCTGTGGTGAACAATTTCACATCAAAGATTCTGCTTCCAGGCTTTCTACTCCCAGTCTTGGACTCCCACAGGGGCAGTTCTAGCTGGTCCTCAGGGTCGCTACTAGAGAGAGGGGATTGAGTTCGTTTTCGGAGTTTTACATTTACTCCAGTAACTCCCCAGGAGCCTCCACGCTTCCTAGTCCCTAGGCCCTCTGAGTTCCCTAATCCTTCCCGGAGGTCATTTCTTCACAGTCACGTGGTTCTGTCACTTCCTAGCTTTGCTTGCTTTCACTGAGCACACGTGCCTGCCACTCAGCACAGCCACCACCTCCCGGGAGACTTCTCCAACACCACCTGCTGGATCCTCGGGCAGTTCTTTAACCCAGACGCTTGTTTGTATCAAGCACAGGGATCACACCTTCCGATGTTGACAGTATGGCCAAGGACACGTGTGGAAGGAATTCATATTAAGAATGACAATAGGAGAAGGGTCACAAGCAAGGGATGAGCCAGCCAGGGTGCAGTATAGCGCGGAAGAAACACCCAACATTCCTCTAATGCTTTAATGCTTCCGTCCCCCAACTATCATGACCCCAGTTCTATCTTACAAATCTGGCCAGACTGGAGCACGGACACTGCTACAGAAAAGAGCTCTCAACACACAGAATCTAGAACAGATAACCCCTCAGGACCAATACTGAGAGTAGCGATAGCATGAGGGTGGGGGGAAGGCGGAGGGGAAAGGGGGAGAAAAGTAACCAATCGCAATGATTAACGTACAACCACCACCGCTGCGCCCCCACCCCGCCCCGCCCCCATCGCCCACCAGAGGGATGAACAAGAGAAACGTGGAGACAGCAGATAGTGTAACATGAAAATAATTTATAAATTATCAAGGGTGCACGAGGGTGGGAAGGTAACAGAAGAGGAGCTGATATTAAGGGTTCAAGTAGAAAGAAAATGTTTAGCAATATATGTACAAATGTCCTTGATATAATTGATGTATGAATTCTTAAAGGGCTTTAAGGGCCCCCAATAACATTCAAAAATAAATTTTAAAAAATGTTGATGAACATACCACCAGCAATACCACGGCTCCTTATGACTTCCACTCCGCTGATGGCAGTCTTCCTGGACCGGGCCTCTGAGGTAGCTTGAAGAACCTTGCCCTGTGCTACAACTCCAGCTTCCCTGCTGCACCCAGTGCTGCTCATAAATGATGCTGGCTGGGGGAACAAGTAAGAATTACGGGGCAGATGACAGCATGCTAGCCATCCATGAAGCTTCAGGCTCAGGCAACTTCTAGAAACAGCAGTTCTCAACTTGTGGGTCACAACCCTTTTGGAGGTTGAACGACCCTTTCACAGGGTTGCCCGATTCATCACAGTAGCAAAATGACAGTGATGAAGTAGCAACGAAAATAATTGTATGGTTGGGGGTCACCACGAGGAACTGTATGAAAGGGTCGCACATTAGGAAGGTTGAGAACCACCCTTCTAGAATGACTGAAGACAAGTCTGATTGCCACCTGGACCGCTAACCACCAGGTGGAAACCACGTGCTGCTGCTCGGGAAAGATGAGGCTGTCTGCTCCAATCCAGATCCAGTCTTAGAGAAACCAGAGGGAAGTTCTGTCTGATCGGCCATGGACTCTGACTCATCTCAGTGGCTGTGAGGTTTTGAACCGATTGCCTCCAGCAAAACCCTGAGCTCGTTTTCACAACTTGTCCTCTCCTCAAGTTTTAATAGTGAAGATTTCTAAACCCTCTCTCCTGGATCTCTAAATTTGTAGTCTGCTGGACTAAGCCAATGTTTCATTTGGTCTGTGTACCTGCTGGAAACCCTGCTAGCATCATGGGTTATGGACTGGGCTGCTAACCAGTCATTTGAACCCAGCAGGTTCTGCAGGAAAAAGATAAGGCTTTCTACCCCTATAGAGTGAGTTTTGGAAGCCCACCGGGGCAGCTCTACTCTGTCCTACAGTCGCGGTCACTGCCACGGCAAGAGGGAGTGTACCTGCTTAGAGCCAGTGCTCTTTCAGCATAGCACAGTGTCTCAGTTAACCAAGCGTACCAATACTCTGAGGTTTGGGGAGGGAGCCACCTTGTCAAGCTTTTTAGTCTATTGTTTTCTTGCTATCGTAAAATAAAGACATGCATACATTTTTATTATAATGCAGAGCTAACCGGCAGGGAGGTTTAAACTGGGGAGGCATGTTCTAACATCTAAAATGATGCTGGACCCAGCCAGCGACAAGACTAACTCGACAGTGAATGTGGACTCTTGCCATCCTACAGAGGCATCCCAAAGCTCCTAACCCCACTGCTGTGCTGAGCACACAACTCCGTAACTCGACTGTTGGCCAAGCTCCCAGAAACGCACCCTGACCTGGCGGCAAAGGAAAGGCACTTGGGCTTTGTGATTTCTATCAATTTTCTAGTTAAAAAACTGGAGTGCTGTCAAAAAAAAAAAAAAAAGGGAATCTAGACCTTAAATGCTCAAAGACATGACCTAGATTGCTCATGGACTTACCCACAAATACATATTGCAAGTCTAGTGTGTCTTGCTAGGACGGTGATGATGTAGACAAAAAAACAAACCAACCAAACTCACAGCTGCGGACTTGGTTCTGACTCACAGTCACCCTACAGGACAGAGAACTACTCTGAGAGTTTCCAAGGCTGTAAGTCTTTACAGGAGCTGCCAGCTTTCTCTCACAGAGCAGCTGATGGTGGGCTTGAACTGCTGACCTTTCAGTTAGCAACCAGTAACTTCGCGTGCTATCAGGGTTCCAGTAATAAGGAATGGCAACTTTTAATACAGTTGCCGAGGGCACTGTGGAGGCCCCTTGGCTGGGTCTCCACCTGAGTGGGTGCAGCAGTGTGGCTCTGGCTGGGCTGGGAACGTTTTACAGCACGACATGAGAACCTGTGATGGAACGTGACAGCTCAGAAATGTCTGGAGAGGCCATGAGGTGTCTTGAACTTTCCAGGGGCTAGAAGCTGGGCCCAGAGGCCCAGGGAACAGTGACTTCAGATCTGACCAGATCACAGAGCTTTCCAGGCCACACAAGGATGAGCTCTGCAGAGGAGATTTGAAGGTTGGTTAGTGTAGAGCCCTGGGATTGAGTTGGGCCACAGTAATTCTGTCCATCTGGATGTGGCTGAGGTTTCCTGAGACAAAGGTCACCCATGGACAACAGACTCGTACATCGACTCCTATCTGTGAAAGCCAAGCTCACTCTAATCTGATGGTGGTGGTGGTGGGAGTGGGGGTGGGTGTAGGGGGAGTGACAAAGGTGCTTGGGGTATCAATACAGGGCTTGGGAGCCTTTGGCAGCTTTCTAGGCAGTCGCTCACTGCTCCCTGCTCCCTGGATCACACACTGCGCCGTGGTTTCTAAGGGTCCAGGCCCTTCTTCCTTACCTATCAGGTGACCAGTCCCACCCAGCGGTGCTCACGCACACAGGTGGAAGGGCCTGGGACAAACAAACTCAAAGAAAAGGAGAGGATCAAGAGTCAATAAATACAGATGCTATTTTTCATCCCAAACTAGGCAGAATCTGAAATAGAAGTCAAACCCTGAGAATCAGCTGAACCTTAAATGTAGCTTTGTCATGGAATTGAAACAAGTCCTCTGTAATAAGAAAAAAAAAGGGGGGGGGATAGTTCATGCTCAATGGAAGATCTCTCTACAGTCACTTTTAATTCTGAACTAAGAAATAATGTTTTAAGCATTTTGGACAGTCACTGTGAACCAATGTCTATTAAATGATCCCGGGAAATGGAGTCAGGAGCACACAGGACTTCTGCCTTACCTTTGCAACTCCTTGAGGATCCAAAACTAGTTTTTAAAACAAAAAACTGGGGGTATAGAAAACAGAAAACTGATGCATCAGTACCTAAAGAAAGATCACATAATTTGGCCAAAATCTGGTGGTGGCTGAAATGTCAAGACTGCAATGATAAACTAAGTCTACAGTGGATTCTCAAACAACTTGAGGTGGAACTAGGGAAAAGGATGGGAAAACCATTCAAGACTGAAACAGGTTGAGTCCCGGCTCTGACAGCGACTGGCTGGGTGACCTGGAACATGCCTCTCAACCCCAGCAGAGAAGCAAGTTCTGCGAGGAAAGGCAAGTCTGAAATTTCTAACGCCCTGTACGAGTGCTCGCGCTTCCTAATCCAAATTTCCCAGCCTCAGTTTTCTCCGTAAAGGGCCCATCTTTATCCCATGCATTCTATCCACAGGCAAAGCATGCACCTTAAAAACCGCATTCAAACAAAGGCATACAGCAACTCAGTTTATTACATGCAGATTCTTCTGCATGGTGGCTAACAGTTCACTGGTCCAAAATTACTAAAATACTTAAAAAACTATACATTATGTAAACAAAACATAAATAAGACAGGATAGTTCTTTGTACATATAGTTCAGTACAGGTTGTTAGGGATTTAGGGGTATGTACAATTTTACACCATGGACTGCATTTTCACAAATGCATAAATATATATATATATATGTATATTTTTACAGAAACAAAAATAAGATTTCACTAATGACACACAACACCAGAGAGTAGATTTGCGGTAATCGTCCAAATTCAAGAAGAAATAGGTAGATGCGAGTCTGTAAAAAGGTGCACTTACTAGAGTCAAATGAGACTTTGCTCACTGCATGTTCAACTGACAGCCCACCCCTGACTGTCTAGTAACCCACTTCTGCAAACAAACTCATCCACCCAGGGAAACGGAACAGATCCCCCTCCCCAAGCAAGCGAATAAGAGATACCTTAAAAAAAAAAAAAAAAAAGAAGGATAAAAACCCCACAACTATGTAGAATATGTTTCCAACAGTATAATAAACAGTTAAAATTCTTCTGGGAGTCAAAACAATGCCCCATTAGTTAAAAACTGGCTCGTTTTGTCTAAATTCAAGATGCAGCTGTGTCGGGCTTCTCCAAGCCAGTCGACTGAAACGTGGGGAAGACAGAGGCTGGGCTTCGACTGGCAGATACAACCATGTGGGGGAGAGGCGGGGACAGTGGGGACACCTTAGAGGCTGGAGTATTTATGGTATTCAAGATAGCTCCTTCTGGGCTGACAAGCAACTTCTTGACCGATGTGTCTAGATGAAACACTGAAGTGCTACTCGGCAGTGGAGGGTTACTGGAGCAAATCGCAGAGACCAGAGATGTTTTCGCCAGAAGAGTTGCCGGAGGAGACTTAATCACTGAAGTCAGGGGCGCTGTTTGTGCTGGAGGTGGGACAGATGCTTTGGCGGTGGTGCTCACCACCTGTGGTGTTGCGTGGACCGTGGGGAGAGAACTTGCATTCCCAAGAGAGTTGACGATTTTTGTAGAGCTTTTCAGAGCATGCTTTGTCGGGTGGCCACCTGGAGCGTGGTTGGATGCTAGTGTGATCTTCTGGGCAGGGTTGTCTACCGGTGGAGGCGGAATGCCTTGGCCACTGTTGAGAATTAAGGGAAGTCCATATTTTGAGTTAGCAGATATAAGCAACACATGGCTGCCAGCGCCTAGACCTTGGGGTGGAACGATAAACCGGGTTCCATTAATCATGATCTGAGTCCCAGGTGCCAAAGGAGTACTGGTGTTAATGACAATTTTTTGCTGAATACAAGGTTCGCTGAACTGGGCCCCTGGCAGACTGCTGGGATTGGATGGTGCTATGGGGGTGGGAATGGCAGAGCCCCCAACAGCAGAACTGTAGGTATGAGTTGAAGTGGGAGACATCTGCTGGCTTGGCAGAGCGGTCAGGTTGGAGATATTAATGAGTTTAGCTGGGCTGGGTGAAAGGGATGGCAGCTCGGTGTGAGGTTTGTTTGTGTGGCCATGTGTTGGCACTGTTGTTGGAATCCCTGGACACTGAAAGTGGACTGAAGTCCAGGGTTGCCTCTTAGAGAGAGCTCCTGCCTGGGTGGCTCCTGGAGGTGCTGCCAGCTGAGGAGCAGCGCCGAGCAGGGCCGGAGAGGTGCTCACAGGCGTGGGCAAGGCAACCGTGACTGGGATCTGCAGAGCGGACGGTAAACACTGAGGAGACACTGTTGGTTGTGTAGTTGAAATCAGAACTGAAGATGCAAGATGCCCTGTTTTCACAGTTGAGATAGCCACAGTGCTGCCGAGATTCGACGTACAAAGTCTATTGGACAGGAGAGGCATCATTCTTGAAGAGGTATCATTGCCACTGACCAAAACTGGAGGCAGTGTCCCAACAGATGCACTGGTTGAGGTCACTGAGAGAGAACCCAGAGGTACATTTGGTCCCGTGGCTGAAAACACACTGACTGCTCTCGCTGCAGACCCCATGGACTCATGGACAGGAGTGAGTTTCTGGTTCACAAGAGTGGAGCTTCCTGGAACAGAATCACCGCTTGTTGACAAGGGCAACGCAGAGCCCTTGCTGCTTTTGTCTTCTCCTTTGGGGGCGACATTCTGCAATACGCTAAGTGATGGTATGGCGGGCACACTGCCCTGCGTATTTACAATCGCTTGACCTATGTTCAGTCCAATCTTCACATCTTTGATCTGAGACACAGTTGGTGATGGACTTATTTTGATGGGGGTGCCCAATGTCGAGGGAATGAGCACAATCTGAGGTTGCTCAGGGGTCTTAACATACGTGTTAGTCAAGGGAGGAAGAAGAGTCTGTTTGAGTGATTCTGCAACAAGAGTTGGGGTGGGGGTGCCACCGGGAACTGGAGGGTTGATAAACACTAGCTTCTGGGTAGAAACACCTGGGGATGTCAGGGCAGGTGGCACAGGGATTGCACCTCCGTTGCTTGGAGAAAGACCGGAGGGAGTGGACATCAGCATAAGCTTTGGAGCTGGAGCCCCGATGCCCACGTCGCCATTTATGGCAGCTGATGCTTCAGAGAGTGTACCAGGGTCACTTTTGGGGGTAAGAGCTACCTGGTGAGGCTTATTAGGAGTATGAATAACACTTCTGTTGGTTTGTCCACAATTTCCTGTTGCTATGCTAATTACGCTAACGCAGCTGTTTGGTGGTAGTGGTAGAGGGCTAGAAGACACAGAGGGCTTCAAAGGAGAAGAGGATATGGATGACATTTTATCTATCAAGTGACCCAAATTACCACTGGCAGGAGGCTGGCCTAATGAAAGTTTGAGATTTTTCCCCACAGATGGATTAAAGCCAGTTGGAATGGAAGCAGAAGTTGCTGTTTGGCCAAAGGGTGGGAGGCTGGAAGTTGCAGGCGCAGTTGTTCCGGCTACTGGTGAAAATGTACAGGAGGATGAAGTCACTGATTTTGGCACTAGAAATGCCTGAAGCTGAGGAGCAAAAGTGAAGACAGACCCCGAAGAGAGCCTGTTGGGCGAGTTCTGATCTGGGTTGTTCTGGACTTTGACGACACCAGTGTTCCCACCTCGAGTCCTCACAAGAATGGATTGTGAATCTCGGATACACACAGTCTTCAGTTCTTGCTTGGCTTCAGAGGAATCGGCAGCTGGTTGTGCAAAACAGTTGAGGGAACTTCCAGGACTTGTAGACCTACTTTGTGTCAGTGCTGATAGTGAGGGCTGAGCAACTGAGGAAACGGTGGGTGAGGCAACAGGCTGGGAGGCGGTGGCTGCGGGAACAGCATTCCTGGGTTTTCCAGCCTCACTCTGGCTGGGCTTACTTGGTGGCACTGCTAAGGTACTTACGGAGGTGATGGGTGGCAAAGGCTGAGGTCTAGCACTGCTCACGTGTGACAAAGGAGCCACCGTCTTGTTGAAGATGGCACTAGGTAGCTGGGGAGGCACAGGGCCTGGGGAGCTGACAAGAATGGGCGCCAGAGTAGGGTTTGCGTTTGCCACCTGTGGCAGAGGCGACACACAAAGCGGCTCTGTGTCCTTCAGCGGAAGTGGGGGCATTTCTTTTGCAGCTGCTTTTCCTTCCTTGTGCTGAATCACAAAATTCTTGGGCAGGATGAGAACCTGCTGCATGACTTTTTCTCCCGTCTTGGGATCCACCACAGGCTGCACCTGAATCTTGACTGAGCTGTTGTGGAGATCTACGGGCAGCCACTGGCCACAGGGCATCTTGTAGACCATCTGTAAAGGGCCTTTTGGACTGGCCTGGCAGGTTAATGCTGACTTCATGGGGCTGGCTTCAGGAGGAGAGAGCACAGGCTTTTCCACAGCGGGAGCACTTCTCCCCATGGAAGGAGGCAGCTGGTTTGTTAAGGTCACTTTGTTCCCAATATTCTTTGCAAGCAAGGCCTGAATCGGTTTGGTCCCTTTTTGGAGAGTAGACACTGCTATTGGGTCCACTGAGGCAAGTGACTCGGGCAGGGATGGCTCTGGTGGCTTCGAGTCATTTACACACTCAGCCTGAACCTCACCTCCTGAACTCACAACGGCAGTCTCATTTGTGCTTAACTTGGCTCTCTTCCTCGGGGAAAGCTCTTTTGCGCCATCATCCAGATAAGCCCCTTGTTTGGACGGGCGTTTCAGGGTTTTCGGCAGTGTCTTCAGTATATCTTTTGAAGGCAACTCCTTTTTCAAGAGCTTGCTTCTACCCATAGGAAAACTGACTTCAGACAATTTCGTATCATCTGCAAATTATAAAAACATACTTTCTGGTTATACACAACATCAAGTACGATGGCAACAGTAAGACCAATCAATCATAAAACAACAAGGTCAATCTTTGAGCTAGTGATTAAGAAATCCACCCTCGGCTAGGGTCATCTCTCAGCAACACAGAGACACAAACAAGGTGACCTTTGCCCTGGTAGTTCTGATCTCATGACCAATCTATTAGTAATGAGAAATCATTTTTTGGTCCAATTCTGCTAACTCTGTGGTCAGTGTAAGTACAAAAGAAAACCTTCAAAGTCTTTTAAAGAGCTCAAGGCAGCAATCAGGGCTCAGAATGGCTCCCTAGGAAGGACTCGAGCTTTCCCCGCCAGGGAGAAAACCACACATGGAGAGAGCGTCTCCATCACACTCTTATGAAACAAAAAAGGCACAGCGTCGTCTTCTTTTTACAATTACCCTAATGGGTAAAAATGTATGTTCCCATCTGGTCAAACAGGGTTGGTGAGAAGCTTTTGGTGGTCAATTCATCAAAGATGTGGAGTCCAGTAGGATGAGGGCACTTCCGAAAGTTCATGGGAAAATGGTAAGTAAAAGATCATGGAAAAAGCGCCACAGACTTTTTAAAGCCCCTTCAAACATTTCTAAACACAAACTTTAACATTAACCTCTTACAACTAAAGAAGGTTACCTGGGTTTATAAAATAATACAGGCTGATGATTTGAAATGAAGTACAAACAAATCCTTATTACCCTAATAATCTGCTTACTCTGGCCTTGGTAGGCCATCGATCTCAGACATTCCTTATTAAAAAGCAGAACAACACAGTCCCTCAAAATTCACAGCATTAGGGACTTGTCAAGTTTCCTTTAAAGCAAATGGTAGAAATAGGTTCCAGACAAGAATAACATGAAGAAGCGAAAGGAGGCTTCCAGGATGTGAGGTCTAGAGGAGCAGTGATATGTCTCCTGTCAGAAACAACTAGAAAACACAATGACGACGCAGGAGACACACCGTACCGTATATCCCCAGCCATACGCTTCATTGACTAGATGATCCTTCACCTCCACGACACAAGCTAAAACTTCTCTCTGTTCTTTCGATATTGACTAACAATGCTGTAATCCCTACCTAAGTCAAGATGTTCTTTCTCCAAGAGATCAAGAGGGTCTGTCGAGTCCGCAGACTTGGTGATTTCTACTGGAGAATCTTTTCCAGGGTCTCCTTCACCTTCCTCACTAGTCCACAGTTCTCTGGTAAATTTATCATGATCAGGCTGTCTTCTGAAATCATCGTAGTCTTTCTTTAAGCGGCTCCTGAAATAAAGCACCCAATAAAACAAACAATACACATGTATTAAAACTCTTGGTTAAAGCCCACATGGAAGAACACATCAGCCTGTGTGATCACGAGGTGCCGAAGGGATCAGTTATCAGTCATCAAAGAACAAAAAATCATATCTTTGTGTGCTCACCTCCATGATACGATCGCTGAAGACAAATGGGTGCATAAGCAAATGTGACAAAGAAAGCTGATGGTGCCCGGCTATCAAATGATATAGTGTCTTAGGTCTTAAAGGCTTGAATGTAAACAAGTGGCCATCCAGCTCAGAAGCAACAAAGCCCACATGGAAGAAACATACCAGCCTGTGCGATCACGAGGTGTCGAAGGTGTCAGGTATAAGGCAGCATCAGAACAAAAAAATCTTACCATAGTGAATGAGGGGGGAAGTGCAGAGTGGAGACCCAAAACCCATTCTAGGCCACTGGAGATCCCCTTGCAGAGGGGTCTCGGGGAGGAGACGAGCCAGTCAGGCTGCGATGTAGCAACGATGAAAAATACAACTTTCCTCTAGTTCCTAAATGCTCCCCACCCCCCACTCTCATGATCTGAATTCTACCTTCCAAGTCTGGTTAGACCATAGGATGTACGCTGGTACAGATAGGAACTGGAGGCACAGGGAATTCAGGGCGGATGATCCCTTTAGGACCAGTGGTGTGAGTGGCAATACTGGGAGGGTATAGGGAGAGTGAGTTGGAAAAAGGGAATCGATTACAAGGATCAACATGTGACCTCCTCCCTGGGGGACGGACAACAGAAAAGTGGGTGAAGGGAGATGTCAGACAGGGCAAGATATGACAAAATAATAATTTATAAATTATCAAGGGCTCACGAGGGAGGGGGGATGGGAAGGGAGGGAGGGGGAAAAATGAGGACCTGATGCCGGGGGCTTAAGTGGAGAGAAATGTTTTGAGAACGATGAGGGCAATGAATGTACAAATGTGCTTGGCACAATTGATGAATGTATGGATTGTGATAGTTGTATGAGCCCCTAACAAAACGATTAAAAAAAAAGCAACCTCTTGGAAACTATTCTAACTTTCAACATTTTACCTCTATTCCTACTTCTCACTTAGTGACCATCTCATTATCTGATATTTTACGCTTTGGACAACAGTGAAGAAATCTATTTCTCCAATGATTTTAAGCACGAATGCTGCATGTCTGCCGTTACAGATGCTGAGGTGTGAGACCACAGGCTGTGAGGTTCAAGATGTGTCCACGTGGATGGTTCTGATCTGGCCACTTTCCATTTTGCATTATATGGATTTCCAAATATCATCTTGGTCTCCGGAACTTAGAAGAATGGGTATATATTGAAATATTTTCTATGAAGTCTGTATTGACATGAAAATGTTTAGAACAGTATTAAAATTATGTAGTCTCAAACCAAACTCCCTGCCATCAGTCAATTCTGACTCACAGCAACTCTGCTGGACAGAGTAGATTGCTCTGTGGGTTTCTGAGATTGCAAATCTTTCTAGGAGTAAAAAGCCTCATCTTTCTCTCGAAAAGCAGCTGGAAGATTCAAACTGCTGACCTTGTGGTTAGCAGCCCAATGGGTAATCTACTATGCCTCCAAGGCTCCTTTTTATAAGCCATTAAAAAAAAATTAAGTGAGTTGTGCAATATCTATGATCATTTTTTACCATGTTACAGATAAGTCATCAACCAACCAACCAACCAACAAACCCACCCATCATTTACTTTTGAGAATAATGATGTATAAACCTTAGGGTCTCACTAGAAATATTTATTTATTCAAATGTAAAATTATTAACTTCAAATTATCTATATTGATTTTTAAAGAGTGTCTATTGTTGTTGTTACTGAGGATATGGCCAACAAAGCATTTATCAATCCAATGGTTTCTACAAGGATAATTCACTGACGTTGCCTATATTCTGAGTTGAACCACTCCTTTTCTGAGCTGTTCCGACTCCACAGTGATAAACTCTCCGACCCCTAAGGTTCCTATCTAAACTTGGTCCCAGATGTTTTTCACTAGTTAAGCTAAACTACTGCTTGGTTTTTTGGGTTTTTTTTTCATGATACATAAACTGTTTTAGTGATATGTAGTAATTCACACACCATGTAATTCAATGGCTTGAAAATATTAAAGTCAGTCATTTTTGAGGGGGAGAAAAAAAGCAATAAACAATGAGAAATGATCACACATTTAATGATAAGAAGACAGTTACCTGTAGGAACTGACAAAAATATGGTCAAAAGGGAAAAAAAATCATTTAAATACCTTTAAAAACGGTAATTAAGACTTGAAGGAAAACTTTGCCAAATCTGTAGACTCTGGAAGAACAAGTAATCCAGAGATCAGATATGGCTCAGGTCTCCACTACACCAAAAGACTAAGAAAAAAGAATTAATTCCATGAGCGTGTAAAGTAGCCAAAGCACAAGAAAATTTAGAAATGCTTAACATTACTTAACTACTGGGATAGGTACTACCTTGATTTGTGGCAAGTTGCTAGCAGTTTTACCCAAGTTGCTAGCAGTTTTTGAACCATTAGTGCAAATATCAATGCTTCTGGATAAGCAATGAGATGAAAACATCTTTCCATACATTTGACTATTACAGGACAACAGTTTCCCAAGTATCTCTGATGATGAGTAGATGCTGGTACTGGTAAATACATACTGTTTGTTTTCAAACAGCACCAGAGACTATTTTTGGTTTATGGGGTAAACAGGATGTCAGGGCACTAACTTTAGGGGCTCACTCAGTCTCTGTGCTTCAGGAAAGGACTGACATGATACGCTTTCTTGTCCCCCACCCTCTGACTCCAGTCTCTTATCTGTCTCCTCCTGACTCCCTTTGCTCTCACTACACCTGCTTCCTTGTTTACATTTCCTCACAACGTTAAACACTTGCCCAACCTCAGGGCTTCTGTATCTGACATCCACAGAGCTTCCACTCCTACCTGATGGAACGTCAGGGAATCCATCCCCAAACCCTACCAAACCTTACACGGCCTCACCCTATGTAAAACAGTCTTTACATTTTCTCCACGGCACCAATCCCAGCTCACAACTGAGTGTGTCTTTCCTCCATCACAATATAAGTCCCAACACGGCTTTCTCAAGGTGGGGAAGCGCTGGGCACACAGTGGGTGGTCAAAAATGTCTGAATTAGAGATGATAGGAACACCACTGCCGGACCCCAGGACATCTTCCACCAATCACACATCAAAAAACACAAGCGAAGTCAGGCAGGTTCTAAGTGCAGATTACCTGTTTCTTTGAAAGGCCTTCATTAGTTTTGGTTCCCATGGCAGCAGCTCATTTAAGAGGCGGATCAATGTGCTGTGCAGTTCTTTCACAGCCTGCCTCCGGTGGTACCATTTCCCCTGAAACAGAATTCAAAATGCATCCCTTAGACCGAACTCTGTAAAAACGTCCATCCTCATGTTTAGAGTAAAATAAAATACAAGCATCAATCATCAAATATGCATTTCTTCTTCTGAAGGTTATAGGAAAAGAGTGGAATCCTGTAATAACTCTTATTCAATGTATTGTGAAGATTCTCAAGTCTAAAGGTGCTCTCTGAAAGACCATTTTTTCTTAAAAAAAATAACTTTTTTTCTTAAGTTCTCAAAATTGGGCCAACTATAAAATGTTTTGGTAAGTCATTTATTAAGTACAGGTACTGGTACATATACATTTATATAAACTCATAAGTATTCATTAACAATGAATGTGGTATCACTTGCTTCTGTAAAGTCTTTGTAATACATTGAAGAGTAAGAAAAAGAAAAAAAAGAGCTAGATTTATGATCATATCCAAAAGCGGTCTAAAGAAATATAACTTCTTTAAGAAAATTTACAGTTACTTTATTTAAAAAATGCTCAGCACAGAAAAGCAACCCCAACAGTCATCGCTGTCAATACTGAAATGGTATGCTAAGATTAATCACTTGTGTAAGCCATGGGACTTGAGTCCAGGTCCGCTTGATTCTGTACTCCAAGCTCATAGAACTACTTCACTATCATTTAAAAACTCTATCACATGCACCACAGAGGTTCTAAGGACCTCTAGCAAAGGCACACTTCACTAGTACACCCACAATTATCTGGCTACCCTAAGTATTAAGTCTACAGGAACAGCATGGTACCTCTCTGAGGAGGCAACCTTCTGTCACCCCAATGGTAGTGTGGCTACCACCCCCACCGCCTTAATGCTTTGAGTAACAACACTGGCTGTTTTCCTTTCTTTCTATAACAGTTTGAGGTGTAATTCTTAGAACACACAATTACTCATTTCCTTCTAACACAAGACACAAACAGGCATGTGTGACGAATCACAGGTAACATGAATCAAGGTAAGGCTTCACCCTGTGTGATTCACCATGAATCAAGGTAAGGCTTCACACCACCCCCCCCCCCGTGACAGTCAGAGAGATGGCACCACCTAAAACAAACAGGTGGCTAAACATCTGCCCAACTTTACTTACAAAAAGCTTCTCGTTTCTGTCTTGGGCATTTTAGTCACATGTAAACTGATGTGACTTAGTTTAGTTTTAGAATAGAAAATAAAACTCTATATATTAAACCAAGGGTGTCAAACTGGCAGCCCTCCGGTCACATGGGGCCCCCGAGGTAATTTTTTGTGGCCCGCGATGCTCTGAAATAAAATGAAAATAGAAAAAATTGTGATGAAGAAAATAGCGCTTAGGGGAGATCAAGGCAATACCGTACACACAATTCCCTCGTTGCATTTTATTTCAGAGCATCGTGAGCACACAAAACGACGCATGCGGCCCGTGGGCTGCCAGTTTGACAGCCCTGCTCTAAACTGCAGAGCCTTCAGGTGCTTTTCTAGCTCTCGGATTTTCCTTTTTGAGAGGGAAACCGTTTATTAGGAAGAAGCAGGCTTCCCATATACGCATGCATGTAATGAATGTGGTGCACATGCCTGTGTCTTCTTGCCAAGACAACTCAGTTTTATGAGAAAAATTCCAGAAAATGACATTTTATTTCATATTATCCTAACCCAGACAAGGCTTACTTCTTGTTAACTGTTTTCTGAAGGTTCATGAAGGACCAAATGTAACTAGTTATACCTCAGAAGTTTACTTTATTCAAAGAAAATGTTGTAAAGGTTGTATATTGTTACCCATGAACACAAAATTATTAAACTAACAGTAAAACCCAGTAAGAATAACTTTCTTTTATGGAAAACAACAAATTGAGGAAGACGAAAAAGCAGATGGGCAGAGAATATAAAAACCCACAACCTAACCCATAGCTACTGAGTCTACTCTAACAGACAGTGACCCTACGGAGGGCCTCCGCACCTGTCCTTTTTTTTTTTTGTGCCTGTCCATTTTTGTGGGAGCACACAGCCTCATCTTTCTCCCGCATGGTGGCTGGTGGGTGAACTGCCCATCTTGTGGTTAACAGCCCAGTGCCTAGCCCAGCGCCACCCTAAATCCTTTAAAGGATGAAGTAGAGTTTTGTTTAAATACAACGGAGATACTTTCCCCCTTAAACAAGGTGTGTGTAAACAGCACATTTTTCATCTTTCTCAACTATGATTCAGTTCAAAATGCACGGTGAGCACGGCAGTAAACTTTCCTTAAGCTCAAGAGAGCAGAAAGAGGGAAGGTACAATGAAAGAAGGTGGGAGGCCATCCTCTTGGTGTGAGAATTCAGTGGTAGTGTGATAAGACTACGGCACACCAGGCACCCGGAACGCCCTGATTTAGGCAAAGAGGCATGTCTTGAGAAGGCCAGGCCGACTGCAGTCTGGCTCAGACTGACGGGACAGAGGCCTGGGCAGTGGGTGGGTGAGGAGCAGAGGAAAGGCTGTGTGGTTCTGAGACATTTGTCAGCTGTGTTTGTCTCTGTAATACATTATTACAGTAGAATTTTGAGTGAAAAAAAAGTTTTAACTTCAGAACGAGCCAACTGTGTATAAGGAAGGGGCCTAAAATATGAATCAGAAAACTAGATTTCTAACTTCCCTATAACTGTCTTACCCACTTACCAGGCTGGAAATGCCTAGGGCCGTCTAACTTTCCATGTGTTCTCTGAGTTCTACCCTTTCTTTACAATAAGTACTATATATATTTGAGTATAAGCCGACCTGAAAATCAGCTGAGGGACCTAATTTTACCACAAAAACGCCATTAAAAATGTCCTGAAAAACTCAGCTTACATGTGAGTATATACGGTATTCTCAACTTAGGGCAGTGGTAGTGATAGGGTATTTTCATTTACAAGTTTAAATTGCATATTTAATCATTTTGCACTTGGAAAACAAACCACAAAGTCCATCACTGTAGTAATGTAAACTAATGAAAGCACAGATCGATGACCTCAATAAAGGGCCATGGGGTACGTTGCATCTCTTGTTTTCACATCTATCAAAAGGGGCAAAGGTTTCAAAGGAGTTGAGAAACACTGCCCTAGGACTACTTGATTTTAGCCACCTGACAGCAGGAGAGAAATGAACACTGCTGGGTTCACCTCATCCTCTCGTCTGTGGTCAAAACATGATGCTTGCAATTCAAGTGGAATCAAAAGCCTAACATCTGCTTTCTACTTATTAGTGGTCTCAGAGTTTCAGAGCAAAAGGTTTTACATTTTTAAATCTGTGAGAGATGATAAAAACTTCCCTTAACTTGGGTGAAATTCAAAATCAAATAAATACTGACTGAACTTTAAAACAGGCGGTTAACTAAGCTGAGCAACTTATTAATGTACAGAGATAAGGAGAAACTTAAGAACAGTGATCATGCTTCTTTCAGGATCCAAGTTTATGAAAGGAAATGGCCTAAAGTCACCGATGGCAATACTTAGAAACTGATGTAGACTTCGGACTAGAATTCTAGGTCTCCTGCATGCTAACGTCCACTCCCTTCCTGCTACACCCTCACCCCAGTTCTTCCTAAAGAAGGAACACATGGTCTATAGTGGGCAAATGACAGTGTTTTTACATACAGGTACTTCTCTAATGTAAGAATTAATCATCTCTGAAATGATCTGATCTAACTACTATCAGTAATTAAAACTACAGTGACGTTAATTTTTAGGTCAATTTGAAAACATTTATATTTTCCTACCACTTTTAAACAGATTAGAAAACAAACAAAGCAGATGACATGGGCTCAAAGTGACAAGAGAACTGAAATGTCAGAGGAGAAAAGCTCGAGGTCAGCGAGTTTATGTTAATTGCTGGGGAGACGGATTAGCCAAAGGTCATGTGTTGAACGGTGCTATCACTATCTCTAATAAAAAGATATTTAATAAGCTTGAAACATACAGCTTTAGTTCTGACTTTACTTGATAGCAAAGGTATGTGAACATGGGGAATAAATGAACTGTTTTCAATATCAGAATTCTCATCTGTTATGAGGGATTAAAAACTATGTTCTTATCAAGGAGTCCATGTAGAAAAAGAATGGTTGGAAATAGATTGTGGTAGCAATTGTACAATTCTACTTGACGCGACTGAAATATGGAATATGTTATATGTATTAAATCCCACCTAAAAAACAAAACTATGTTCTTAGATATTCTCTGGGTACAGTGTGAGTTTAATAATTCAAACATTCACTGACAGTCGGCCATTAAAAAAAAAACAACCGTACAATTTTTCTTTTATGCATCTACTATACAGCTTAATACAAAATCGAGCACAGATTCCTAGCATCCACCAAGGAACCAAAGGTGTATAAGCAGTCTGATGCTTACCTCTCATTGCTTCCTCATCCAGTGTCCACAGCAGCTGCAGATTGCCAGCTCCCTCACAAGATGCCCCAGCTGCCAAACACGGAAGGTCTTATAACCCCCAGAAATCACCACAAAAAAGGAGTTGGTCTCTGGCCGTAAGCCCTTTGTTATATTATGCAGTTTTATAAGTTTTTGAGTTTGGTGTGATACGTTAGTATCCTGGAGTGATCAGAGGGAAGGGAAACTCAAAAATAACAAAACAAAAAACTTACAAAACTACACAATATTGTAAAAAGAAAGCTGTGTTTCTCTTGTGTGTGAGATAAGTGGGGAGAGGTGCTTACCTTACAACTACAGAGCAGCTCCGTTCTGCCACAGTGAGCGGGCATGGGTATGGCAGCACCAGCTTAGTGCTGGGCGGGAGCTGCACGGAGAGGGAGCTGGCAAGCAGCGGATGCTGGGGACAGTGGACACCTGAAAGGAAGGAAAGAGGAAGAGAAATGAATTCCTAACATATTCCATGTCTCATCAACAGGGGCACAGTGTGCACATTGCTGTATTGTATCTGAAGAAAACAGGTATCAACAGTCTTGGGAAGAAGAAAAGGTGACCAAGTATACAGAGAATGGTTTCTTTAGATTGTGAAGTATTATGTTAGAGGTGATACACACGT